AATGTATGGCAGCAAACAAAGCACGGCGAGCTTTAGGAGCGAACGGGCAGGCATTGTCAAAACATAAGAAAGCTCGTTCATGGCGCAGGTAACGCGATATGGCCGGCATAATGGAGCATTGTTCTTTTTAAATTACTTGCCCGCTGACCTTGTGCATTCGTATTATTACTGGCCATAGCTGTGTAGCCGTAACGTGGTCGCGTACTGTAAAAACTATAACGTTTCAAGGTTATTTCGTCGTCTGTTTGTGACGTTTTTGGAAGTCGATCCGCCACACTTACCCTTTTTTGTTTACATTTTTCGAATGCTTCGCAACGACGCGGTGGTACATTTGGCATCATCATGGACCGTTTACCAATTTGCAACAACGTGGTAACGTACGAGACCACAACAACCTGACCGACGAAAAAGGCTTTTGTTATGTAGGTAATATTTGTTCGATCTTTGTTAAGAATCTTTAGTTTGCGTGAAGCTTCTTGTTCAGCCGAAACATTTTGTTTTTGTTTATCCTTTCAAGTTTTTTTAAAACGACCTACTGCAAGTTGTTTGTGTGGGCTGCCTACTGCTTAAAGACAAAATTTAAATTATTTACCTGCGCCATGCATAAATTGGTGAGCAACTTCAAATTATTCTCTATTTTCTTGTTTTTATGTGTGGAGCTTATCGGTAATCGTGCATATTAGTCAGTGATTTATCTTCTATTTATTAGACATCACTGGTATTTCAGAAAAACTCGGCAGAATGAAGTTTATTTCCGATATTATTTACAATTCAAAATGTTTACTAATATGTATTAATCTCAAGATCATCAGGAACTTTTATATGTGTAATTTTAATGAACGAATTCTTTTAATTTAAGTTGGTATTCAAAGAGACTTCAATTCTGGCATGGAACAGTAACCTAAATAGCGTTACAGTATTTACGCTTTAATGTGTCACAAAAGTAACAGATTCTGCATTGGTCAATGAGATTGCGAAAACAACACAATTATAAACTCATTCAACTAAAAAACAATTTTATTTATCAGAAAAGAGACTAAATGTGGGATGATGCAGGATGAACCGATAAAAATGTGAGGAGATGTTTGGAACGCTGGAAGAAGGAAATATCTGGAAGTAAATATGTAGGAGGAAGGTTTTGCAAATAGGGACGAAAAGTAGATATGATCAAGGGAGAGGGTTTTGAAGAGATTAAAATCAATCAGGAACGGATGATGCAGTGGTTTAAGGAATATAGGAGAATTGATGATGAACAGCTGCAGGGAAAAGATATGAGGAGATCATCTAAAAAAAGTAGAAGAAGTCAAGGACTGGTAAGCGGATAGGGCACCAAGATATTTAGAAGGAGAGAAGTAAATAAAAAGGCTACCAAATTTGGAACAGGGAATGAGTGCAGGGAAGTGGAAAGGAAATAAGACAAACGGTGCAGAATAAGTGACAGGGAAGTAGTAGATAATTGCAAAGTTGTTCTCAAACAATACGCAATTACATTGAAGAAGCTCCCAACCAGCGGCCGAAACGCTAGTGAATTGTCAATAATTAATTTCTCAATCTGTTCGGACAGGTGGAAAGGTATAGAGGCACTTAAAAGTCAATAGTGATAAAGGCATCCTCTGCAACAATGCTTTTAGGTTTTTTTTGACTTTGTGCCACATAGTTATACGGGTGAATTTTTGCAAGGGTATTGGTTCTTGACTTCATCCTACAGGCGATACTGGCCTTTTTTACATGTGCATTCCATTATCTCTTCCTGTTGTGTGTCCATTTTGTAATATTTTTCATTTTACATAGTCTCCTTATATTTTCACTTCTCCCTCTGCCGTACAGGGTTCCTTTTGTTTTAGATGTGGCAGGTCTAAGTCTCCGCCGTGTAGGTCACGATCGGTTTTATGGTGCTTTCATATATTTTTGTTTTCGTGTTTATGTCTAGGTGTTTATTTCTTCATAAGGTGGCGATTGCGATTTTGCTACATTTTATAACTTGTTGTGATACTTCATTTTCAATATCGTCGAAATTTGATAGTTCGATTCCCAGGTACTTGTTCTACAATATTCTGGTTCACTTCCACCTTACATCGAATTATACTGTTGTTTTATTGTTGAAGAGCTGCAGGTTTCTTTGCAAGTGGTTCTCATTTTCCGCGGAAATAGCCGCGTTATCGGTCAAATAGAAGATCGTGAATTCCTGATCGTCCCTTCTGTAACCCTTGCCCGTTTTGACCTTTACTACTATCTAAGTAAATTATCCTCAATTGGTGGGGAATTTATGAAATACAAGTTTGTTAATATTTTTATTTCTTCGAGTGTTTCTTCGAAATGATTTTGATTCTGTTCGCTTCTCATAATTATACTGTAGGTACTATAAAGTGGAAATTTGCGTGTAAAGTTTTATTCTTACTTACGCGGTTTCGCGTAAATATGGCAATTAATTGGTGTCTTTGTATAAAGTGAAATAAATGCAATGTCATTCGCTTAAGAAAACGGGTGCATTTTTGTAGACGTCATTTTTTATTTCTAAATCGGACTTTGGAGGTCGACTACTGCAGCTGCTTGCAACAGAGCAAGGTGAGAAAAGCGTCACAATGCGTATCGAAACACTTGTTATCGTTAGATTTATACTAGACAATAAAATAGTAGTTATTGAACTCGTAAAAGAAATTTCTGTCCTCTAGTTTTTGTGTGAATGAATTATTTAGAAAAAGCAATTCGGATTAGGACTTTTGACGTTTGGAAAATAAAAGCTCAAAACTTGATCTCATGTAGGAGTACTTCTTTGTCGGTGGCAGAATGTGCCTATAATATTTTTTAACCATGTCTATTTGAAAATGTATCCTGATTCCTTGAAACCCGTAGTCCTTCCCCTCGAATCTTCAAAATATTTTGAGCAAAGCTCAAAAGATTTAAATTGCATTTATTGGATTTTTATTATTACATTACCATTTATATGAAAAGATGATTGATTGAATGAGTATTTCTACTCATTTTTCTATATTACATCACATTTTTCAAAAGGTGATGCTACCCCTTAATGGGAAGTAAAAGAATACCACTATGTTCGGTTTTCAACTTGCCACTAGTCTATGGTCGGGGATAGGTCTGAAACCTATTTTTAATTTTACTTTTATAAGTTAAATTGCCATTCAAGGACGCTTGGGGGATATTACCAGACAAAGAACGAAATAGAAAACAGATAATAAGATAAGAGATTACGGAGGTAACAATATTTTACCTTTGAATCAATCCAATTCGTTCATCGTGTACTATTCGCTGTCAATATCGTGTTTTTTCTTTTAATAAATCACGAACAATCTAAAGGATCAAGTCTCTGTTGATGCGTGTCTTCAACTATATCCCGAAATGAAGGTTTTACATAAAGCGAAATAAAAATGAGACCATAAATTGATTCACTGGACATTGGACAGTCTTACCAAATTTAAAATGCCATTAACGAAAGCACCGGCTTCGGCTGGTACCTAATAGGTACCTATAAGCTATTTTCATTTTGTATTCTAATTTCGAAACAGAGGATAGACAACAAATCGTGTTGGTCTTGAAGCAGTACATCCGTAATTTTGTAAATAAATAACTCAAGAACACAGCAAATCAGGCATTTTAAGTCGTGTTGCACCCGATAATACCAATTATAATAACAATAATAACTCAAGGCAATTTCTTCTATCGACTCGTGGAGGTTAAAGAAACTTTTTCAAAGCTTTAAAATGGTTTTGTAGTTTTACTACCTTACTTCTTGCAATAGACAGTTAGTAAATAATTTACAATTCGTACAACATGAAATAAAGACTCTAAATTTATATTGATTTTCTACTTTTTGGACTAATTCTTATGGTTCTTAAAAGCCCAAATACCTAAAACGTGAATATTAACGTATAAAAAAGAATAATTTAGTTAGTTATCTGACAGATATTAGAAGTGTTTCCTATTCCTATAGCTATCAAAGTCTTATGTAAGATTCAGCTCTAAAAAATATTCTGCTAGGTCCATTAAAAAGCAATATAGAAAACAATCTAAATAATCAGTTTAATAAGTACAGTTATAATACAAACTATTAATGGCTTTTGAAATAGTTTTGTTAGCGATTGCATGTATAGTTTACCTTTGGGCGTTACCTGAAGCTACTGGAGTGGTCTTAATGAAAGTTAATCGGTCAGTTTATTATTAAGGAAAAAGCTAAAGTGCTATTATAAAGATAAAAACTGAGTGCCGTTAGGTAAAGCCGATTCCTTCATTTATACATTAAAAGAAACTAAAAGTCGAATAGACATTGACCTCTTAGTAGTTTAGGACTCACCAGATAATCAATAAACAATTGCTGTTTACATGTTTTTAAAAAGGAATTTGTAAAAATCTATTTAGTTATAATAATTTTTCTTATATCGGTCGTTGTATAACTAATAAAAGTTAGGTTAATTAGATGTAAATTGACTTTTTGTTATTAAGGAACTTATTATAGGTACAATTACCTATCGGTACTTAAGAATTGTACATAAATAATAAAACATACAATCAAGATTTTAAAATTGTTTGAATTCTGCCGGGTAACTTATATTCTTTTGGAATTAAGAAATAATAGATGCAAGATAAAAAACAATAAATAGCGTTAAAAGAAATAAACATGAACCTGGTTGGGTTCTTAGTTAACTTATTAATTAAATTAACGTTCAGAATTCATTGGAAGATAGTAATGCGTCTTCCTAATTGAACGTAGTAAGCGTAAGGTGCAAGCTGGCGTAAGAGGGTTTCTCGCTTGATCGAACGTTGAAGTCTCCGCTAGAACTCACCGCTGTAGCTCCGAATTGCATGCAGTGCGGCTTGAGTTACGGGGAAAATATGAACAAAACGAACATTTGAGCAATGTACTGTGTACCCCATGGTTAGGTGCAACGTATTTGTGTTGCAAACAGAATCTGTTAGGGCGTTAAAAACTAAGCAATGTTACAAAAATAAAACACATCAGTATATTTGTAGGAAGTTTTGCTCACCGTCTTTTTTCGGCACGATTAATGGAAGCGGTTGGTGTGGATCGTTTCCAAGAATATTTCCGAGTTCCGAGGAATTTTTGTTAGCTGCTGCATTCTGCGATTCCAACAAGCGCAGTTGTTGCTGATGCAGTCTGTTTTTGATCAAGAATATTTTCGGCATCGCGGAGGACGAATTTCGTTATTATACGAAACGAAAAAACAAAATCGCACTAAACAACGGAATGTTATAATCCTGCAGTAAACCACTACACTAATAATAACAGTAAGTTATCCATATTTAGGCACTTGCGTGCGTGCGGAAAACGGCACTGAAAAAATATAATCACACATGAAAGTACCTTTTTGTCGAGTACCTTGGGGTTGTTTGTTGTACTCGGTGGGCCACAACGCGTTTAACAACTCGGTAAAGTTCGTAAGGAAGCTGTCACTGTACAGTACGTAAATACATATAAATAAATAAGTGCCAAGAATTGGGTTGACATTGACGGTACCACGTGTTCGTTATTCGAGGTCTTAGCTAAGACTGATGACCGCTAGGGTACCAGTCGATGTGAACCGTTGTAATGGCCCCCTTCCCCGCAAACCCACGACAAGCCCATGGTCGCCGTGCGACCTGTTGAGGTTACCTATTCTAACTCGCTTGCTAAGTACCCACTACCTGTTCCCGTACATGAACACGATGTTCTTTTTGCGTAACAATCCGTAATGGCTAGCTGGGCACGTACCTTAGACTAAGTGGTAGGTAGGCTATCCACTGCATGGGTACTATTATAATAGCGAGTGTATAGTATATGTACCATGTACCTGTTTCAAAAAGTCGCCTATAGCGCCGCATCAGTCGCAGTTGTTTCCCTGAAATGCTTGTTCTCTTTTTCCTCTCGAGATCTTCGCTTCTTTGGTCGCTGTCTGGTTGAGAAGGATCATAGGGAAAGTGAAGGTACAATAAGTCTAACGAGCCTACCAGCGTTTGTTGAGGCACCGTGTACAAATTGTTCTCCTTGGAATTTGTTTAAAGAACGTCTTATAGAAACATGGTACAAATTTGGATTACTTATTAGATGTATGTTTTGTTTCCGGGTTTTGGTTGTAAATGAAATTTCTAAAAAATCTAACCGTAACCAGCCCGCATTACTGAACACAATTCTTGTCATCCTGTCAGAGATTGGATTTTTTAAAACGCCGAAGTAGGTGTTTGAATAATTATATTAAATATCATTAAAACCAAGTTTCAAGTAAATCTGACCACAAACAAACATGATCCATACCAACTTTGCCACCCCTTTTCATCACTTTAGGGGTTGAATTTCGAAATATTCTTCCATACTTCTTATGTAGGTACATCATCAATGAAACCAAGGGTTTAGCCTAGGGGTTGATGAGTAAATGAGCCAGGACTTTTCTTTTGGTATACAGGTACCTATAGATAAATGCTTGGATAGATGCTTCATTGAAAACACTTTTTTAATTTCTATTAAGTCTATGTTCTTTCTAAAGTTTAATTGCTTTTTTATAATTGAAATGTACCCTAAAACGTCCTTATTTTCCTTCCAGCCTTGACGTGGTTCTAAGCCATAATTTGTATGTTCAAGATTCATTAAATTTTAAATACTACTGAGGTAATCCATACCCTTCGCCGTGTTTGTGTGTTGAAGGTTTTAGGGGTAAATACTTTGAGTTGGAGAGAATTGGGTTTAAACGGGTAGCGGCGCCTAAGATTAAATTGAGATGAGCCGGTTGTTTGGATAATTAATTAATGTATCTATCTGCGTCCATCTACGAGATGGTATTATATTTTGCTATCGATGGTATCTTTTTATTATACTGCTTGTATTTTTCTGTCGGTTATCAGTGCATTGTAAAAGTAATCATTAGATCATCTTATAGTTTTACAAATAGATGGATATAGGTACAAAAGATATCCGCATTCTTGTGCATGTAAGGATTTAAAGATCGAGATTGTTTATCGGGAGGACATTTTACTAATACGGTGGATTTTTGTCATTTAGGTATATTACAAAAAAAAAAGCTAGGCGAGTCCTTTCGTTTTATTTTCAACTTAGGCTCATGTTAGGAATCGAGGTCGTCCTTGCGCATCCTTTTGACGCTAAAAGCGGCACCGACGGCACGTTTTTCCGCGTCGTCACGAACGGACGTAATTGCAAATGCATTCATCCACCTGTTGATCAGGTAACAATCGTTCAGGCGCAGGTGTCAAAATTAACAAAGGCAAACGCTGACGTACACTTATAACGCGGGTACCATCTGCAAGCGAGTTGGAATGAGGTAGCTGTGTTATGTAGTTGGAGATTGGTTGCATGGCCTTTGGTGCCTTTGCTGGGTGGGGAGGTGGAATGCCAAGATCACGGTCTATGCCAACACCGTTGCCGGCGCGGGAGTCTCTACGGTGCTTGAAACCGTACCTTGCTTACGTTACGGTGATCCGGCAGCAGCACCGGTGCGCCGGTTCGAGTACCACTAGGCCAGACGTGGCAATACCGCACTTTTCATTACAGGACGAGCGCTAAAGCGCCTGCCCGCCTTTCCGGAGCTACTCAGCGCCGTCGTTGGTTGGATAAGACAAAGACGCGCGCGCTTAACTGACTTTAACATGGAAGACTTGGACTTGGCGTTCCAACAACTAACGAGCTTTGCTACGTACCGTGCACATTTACTAATCAGAGGAATCTTAATTACCTATCGAGGAGCTAATATGTAGGGAAGTTGCCTGAATAGTCCTTCTTGTAGAGGAAAAACTGAAATTGAAATTGATAGGAAAACAAAATGGTATAATAGGATAAGTTAGAAAACTTATAAAGATTTAATGTTTATTAGTCTAAATCTCCTTTAACACTAATTTTTCTTAAAAGTTTATGATTTTGAAAAACTGCAACGGTAAAAGAAAATGGAGAAGATTACCTTACCCTTAATTTAAAAACGACTTAACCAAGTAAATGTAGGCATATACATTGTGGAATTAGAAATCAAAATCATGGAAAAGCATAACAAGATGTTCTTTTGTGAAATCCTGAAGTATATATATGTAGAGGATAATGGACGATTTACACTTTAAGATCACTTATATATACCTACGCAAACATTTGTCTAATGATTTAAAAAAGAAAAAACAATTGGACCGAGGAAGAGAATCCATCGATACAACGGTTTATAACCAATAAACACAATCAATATATAAATTGATAAAGAGAAAAGACTGAAGCCAAAAGTTCACCAATTGATACCCGCACACATTACTGTACGGAAGGAGAGATTACGGCAGCTATATCAATATTTCAATTATTATTAATTGTACACTTTAATCGGAGCATTTTTTTTTATAGCTTTGACATCATTTGATGTGAGGTTTGATTAGAAACCAAAGAGTCATTTGACATAGAAATTGCTCGTTTATTCTAGCTGTCATTTTCTGTACTTTGTTAAATTTCTACAATATCTCTGATTGAAAAGTAAGGGTGAGATTATGAGTTTTTATGGAACATCGATTCCATTTTATATAGACGCCTGATTTTAATAACTTTACAACCCTTTCTTTTTCTATTGACAAGACGAAACTAAAAGTGTAATATTTAGTTCTTTATCCTTTCGGTACAATAATAAATGTTAATACGAACCGATTCAGGTAAAAATGGTAGGTATAGTATACTTTTCGGAATTTCCTGGTAGCACGTAGCCTGTTTGAAATTGAAAGCTCCGATTTTATTTCGACTTTGTTGCCCTAGTGTCATAAAAACGTTTATACGCAAACATCGTCAAATCTTTGTGTTTATGTGATGCTGAGCGGTCGGGTTGAATTCGGTGTCATCAATTTGTTGTGTAGGGTTTACTTTTAAAATTTTATTGACCGAGCCCGAAGCGGCCTTTCGTCTTTAAAGGAATGCCGCTTTGGACTGTTTATTACTATTCTAAATGCCCTTTTCAGTTTCAATATATTGACTACAGCAACCATGTATTTCTTAGGGAACGAAAAATTTGCAAATTACGAGAGGCATTCCTAACAGATAGAAAATTAAAAGTATTTTTTAATATTAGAAGAGTTAAATGAACTTCTTATTTAGTTATATTGTCATTAGTAGAATAGCTTACGTATATAACAAAACAAATAATAATAATGATAAATGAAAATTTCGTAGTTTCATGTTGTGTAGTTTTTGGATTTTCTAAATTTACCAAATTTAGAAGGACTAAAAGAATTATTTGGTAGTTTTTTTGGTTTCTTGTAGACACTAAAGATTTCAAACGCTTAAAACTTCAAAGAATAAAAATTCCCAAAAAAGTTTACAGGTAGATACCTAGACCAAACAGAAAATGAATTAATTTTGCTCTTATATATATATATATTTGTGTTTAGATTAGAAATATAATAATGGTAGACACAGAACTTAATTTGTTTGTTGAGTAATTTATGTTTAGCGTTTTTGTACTAATAAATCTATGTTATTATAGTAAATTGTAAAAAAACAGCGGACGAAAAAATGTAAACAGGCATTAGTACCTCCCGTGATATTAATATGTATAGGTATGTATTGTTATGACGAATTCAATAACAACTTATAAAACGGTAGATCAAATAATCGCACCAGTCAGTGGCAAATAAAGTGGGAATACAAATTGTCTCTTTTTAATTGCTTGCTATTTGAAGCCTACAATAACACACTTATAACCGTTATAGTAGACATTATTAATTGCCATGTATCTCTTTTATGTAAGTAGGTAGATACATAATTAATCGACACTTGTTTTGTTTAACAAAATGCGCAGGTTTATTATTGGTATATAACTTGTTACGTAACAATATTAATAAATGCGGAAATTCGTTACTCATAGAAGGTTTTCTTTATTTAAACACTGTAAAATATTTGGTATTTTTAAATGCCGGTCGAAGAATGAATATTTGGGAATGCATTTGACGCTTTGAATTTCATCTCTGATTTCTAGTCCTTTTGTAGACATTTTTAAACGTTGGGAGGATTTCTCCATCACTTTTCTAGCCTAAAATTATAAATATATTCATCATCATCATAAGGTCGTCAGTCCTAAGACTGGTTGGACATGTACCTCCACTCTTTCCTATCCTGAGCTAAACTTCGCATTTCCCTAAAACTAGAACATCCCACATCCTCGATTATTTGCGAACAATAATCTAATCTAGGTCTACCTCTACCCCTCTTAACTCCTGTTTCTGCATCTAATATGTCTCTGACTAGACCTTTATGCCTGAGAAGGTGTCCTACCAACCTATATCGCCCATTTTTTATTGACTTCCATAGAGTCCTCTGTTCTCCTATTCTTTCCAATACCTCTTCATTTCTAACCTTTTCTACCCACGTTATCCTCATCATTCGCCTACTAGACCACATTTCAATCACTTCTAACCTTTTCTTTTCCACCGCGCCCACTGTCCATGTTTCGCACCCGTACAACGCCGTGTTGCAGACATACACCTTTAACAACCTTTTTCAAATTTCTAAATTAACCGAAAAAACAATTGGACCGAGGAAGAGAATCCATCGATACAACGGTTT